GCTTGGGTCACATATTCGGTGGGCACTTTCCGTCAATGAGTCCCCACTAGACTGCTCAACATCATGAGGTGTCTTGACATGCACCTGTGATCGAACCCGATGTTCAGGTGTTCTGGCCGATGGGTCTGCGTGCTTGTCCAGTGGGCCTGCTTTTTGGGCCATTGGGCTTGCAGCTTGTGCCCTCTCGGGCTGCTTTTGAGCCTCACCTGGTGTGGGGCTCTTCCTCTTTGCCACAGGCCGGCCGACGGTCTTCCACTCTCCAGACCCCTCTGGAATCATTGGCATCTTTGGCCCAATCGGACTGTGTGCCCTCTCAGGTTGCTTGGGTGGCTGCATGATCTTCTCCTCCGCCTCATGCGCCCGCTCTTTTTGCTTTAACAAGCAGTCGCTCAACACGAACACTTGCTCTTCCACCAAGGCTCAATTAGTAGCAGCCTCGCAGCTTTGCTCTTTTGCCTTTTTAAAGGCAACTTCATGCCGCCTTGCCTCCTTCTGAGTAGAGGCCGCGGCGATCTCCAATTTCACTATCCGGGCCGCCGTTCCCCGATCGCTGGTTTCCTGCACCTTGGCGGCAGCCGAAACGGCCATCTTCTCCAGGAGGGCCATTACCCCTAGGGCTTGGAGAAGGGCAGCCACCACTTCTGGGTACGCCGTTTCTTGAGCTTTTGCAGCCTCATCCATGGCTTTTCCTGTTCTTCCACCTGTGCATGGCTTGCAGAAGTTCAGGCTATGTCCTCTCGGGCTGCTTCTCCCATAACCTCGCCCTCTCGGGCTGCTTCCCCTATACCGGCTCCTGCCACCGGTCCCCCTTCTTGGGGTGCGGATTCGACCATTTCAATGGCCTGTCCCTCACGGGTTGCTTCTTCCGACTCCTCGGCTTCCATGGAAGAGGAGGCTGGTGACAAAGTTGCATGGCGTTGTCCCATCCTCCGCATGCAGACGAAGTGTAGAGCGCCACCACCAAGTGGCGCCGAAACCAAATGATACGTGAGGATCTTGGGTGTGGGGCTCCTGCCCTCTTTGAGCTGTGGACCCACCTCGCCAGGCACCTAGGCCCTTACGGGGACCTAGGCAGGACCACCCCGACCTACTCCCATATTGTATAATAATACTTCCTCCGTCCCATATTAATTGTCGTCTATTTGAGAGAGAAATCTCGTCATGAAAACTGTATCCAAATTACAAATGGAGGTCAGAATCGGAAATATTGGGTCTCAAAACCCTTAAGTTCGAATTTTCAAGAAAAAATATTTAGTTCTCAGGCCTATGAGCTGGCCCCCAAAATTGCCTTGACACAGTCCAAAAAATGCGCGTTCAATTTCCGCGGTCTTGCAAGCCCCCCTGGTTTGGGGGCGCTCCCGTGCCTAGGGGTTGCAACGCCAATGGTTGCCACCTTTGGGGCAAAGGATAGGGTCTGGCACGTGGCATAGCACTTGCCAAACACATTCAAACATGACTTTATCCTTGTCTCAAGCAGCCATCGTCACAATGTTGACGATACCAGAAATCGCCGGTTTTCTCGATCTCCGATGGGCGGAACTCCAACGAGCGGAAAGGCCAACGTAAACAACCTTGAAGCCTAGGATCAGTGCGTTCTGTCACTCCAAGGCTGTTTGGTAGCCTTGCTCAGATATTTCGCCTTAGTTGATGCTTGAATCGGGACTTGCATGGGCCCCTAAGCTGGAAGCCCCAAAATTGCCATTGTTTGTGGATACAGTGCCAAATGCTTGTGCGCGGTACACAATCCATTGGAACCTAGCAAGACTCCATCACTCTAGAAGACCCGAATTCATTTTTGTGGCCATCCCCCTTGCACCCAATCCTCTAAAGTTCCGAAACAAGGACATGTCGCCATTCCCGTGGCAATTGCCAATTCACTAATTGTTCGTGCCATATCAAGGTGATAGCCATTACCATCTCCGGCTCCTAGTTAAAGGGATTGGGAGACCTCCCTCAGTTGCTTTGACAGTGGCAAAAGAGCTCGAAAAGCCTTGACCAAAAAAATTTGCGTCCGAAACGTCACTCCGATCCCCCAGACCAAGCCTAAATTAATGGTGCGAGCCACGGCGAGTTCGACGATCAATGCATTCGAAACACGTTTTCTATCACCATACCTCTTTGCAAGCACCCTAATGACCTCCACTCTGAATAGCATCAATAGTTTTGCAAGGACGAGTTTGTTTCGCTGCCATGAAGGAGTGCTCCTCAAAACAGCCAAAAACAGCTGTTTTCGGCGCAACGTCCAGAAACGACCCTTTTCTGGCCAGAGGACCCTTGCTACAAAGTACTGCCAAATCCTCAAAACTTAATGGATCGACTTGAAATTTTTATGGTACACTCCAACCTCCCAAAAACAACTTTAGGGAAAATTTGATTACAAAAAATTGCAGGCACGATAGGGAAACAACGTTTCAAAGTCATAGACGACAATTAATATGGGACGGAGGAAGTATAATCTGGTTGGAGAACTATTACCATATCTTGGGCACGGCGTCCCCCACACCAAGAGACCATTAGTAGGGCATCCCCCACACCAAGCCAATGTGCGTAACAAGAACTGTATCAGGGGATGAGATATTATCGCTGGGCCCAGTGGTTGTATTGTCACGTGATCTGGGCTGTGGCCACCCCCCAAAGGGTGATTACCTGTTGTTAGACTGTAATTCCATTTCTCTCACTCACTTCCCCCCAATAACTACACCCACGAGCCACAAGGCACCGCATCCCCACAATGCGCATAGCCACTCCACGCCCGGCCAATTGCAGGCCTGGGCCCACAATGCAAACCCGAAGACATGCGCGCTCTAGCAAAGCCCACCAGCAATATGGCAGATGAGGCCATCCATGCCTCATCGGGTGCCTCAACGAGCACATCACCCACACCAAACCGAAACCCACGCCAGGAGGTGAATGGAAATGGCACCAATGTGATGACAACAAAGCATGGCGAGGAAGAGAATCAACCTGAGGGATTGTTGTTGCAACACTTAGGGGCCGTGGCTGCCACAGCTGCCTGCTGAGCAACCTTATTTGCGGTCGCTGAATAGACTCAAAGCATGAAGCATCAACCGGGTGCCACCCTCTGCAGCATGGGCGCAGTATTGGAGGAACAGCTACAAGTTGCAGTGAATCAAGCGGCCATGTCCAAGTTGCATCAAGGCTGCGAGCTCTGTGCCTTGCAGGAGGGAGTGCATGGCCCAATGCTTTCTCAAGAAGGGGCCATTTTAAAGATGGCCGATGGCCTGGAAAGTGTGCGGCAATGGGCAGAAATACAACATGAGCCTGGGCGGATCCAAGATGCCATGCACTTTGAATGGCAATGGGCGGAGCAGTGGATCAGTGTGGAAATGGACCGCAGATTCTGTGGCACAGAATAGAAGGCATTGGAAAACAGTTGACGGTTATGGAGGTGCATTTCATGGCGACCAACCAGTGGCTTGAGGATGAGGCCAAGCTAGCTAGCACGATGGATGGCGAACGGTTTGCAAGGATGCAAGAGGAGGTTTCCGAGGTACGCGACCATTCTTGCAGCAATGGAAAAGGAGAAACGAACCGAGTATGGCCATTGAGAGCACCGTGGATAAAGCCACCGAGGAGGCCACAAATGCGAGCCGTGGCTTGCGTGAAACTGTGCAAGCCCTTGATGTCCTCGGCACAATGGTTCAAGTGCAGTAGAATGTAAGCGAAGTATTTTGCACATGGATGAAGGCATGGAAACGAGCCATGCTCAGCAACGGAGTCCATGGAGGGTGAGCTCTCAGGCATCAAGCGAGCCATCGAGAAATTGGATGCACGGGTAGCCGATACAGTGTCAAACATCATCGTGAGGTCAACACCGCCGCGCGCATCATGGGCTCGGTCGAGGGGGGGACCGCCAATCGGCCGGATGTTGGGGCACGCCTAGAAGACATACATGAAAAAGTTACTCTTTATGAGGGACTACGCACTTGTAGGGTAACGGAGGGCTGTAACACCCCCATAGGAACGACTTTTGGAGTTATGCCTCTACCCGTTGGTGTTGTGAGCTGGAGTGAGGATGCTATGAACTGGTCAGAGTACCAAGATGCCCAAAGACGCCCAAATTCCCCTCAACACGTACTAGGGACAATTGTCCATACTATCCCAAGTACTATGCAACAAGGATGTGTTTCAATGCTGGGGAATTTAGGAATTCTTTGTGATTGTTTGGAAATGTCTACAGCTTGATGCTGCATTCTGTGGTGAATCAATCGACCAGTCAAGTTGGTCCATTTGTTCGTGCATCTCAAGCTGGTCGAAGTGCAATGCCGTCACAATTGAGTGGTGGTGGAGCGTTTGGTCAAGCATTTCCTGCAAGATCTACTCGCCAACCACCATATTGGGGATCAGGGATGCCAGATGATCCTTATAGCAGCCTGGGCTCGTACAGCTCAGTGGCTCAGCCAGCAGCCTGGTGGTGCTGGGAGTTCAAGTGGGCACGAACTACCAAGGAGACCACCCAGAATGTCACCTTCTGGTGGCCCACCTGGCAGACCGCCTAATAGCGGTGGTGGAGGCGGCGGCGATGAAGATGGCTCAGCAGCTATTTGAGTGATTTCATTGTTGCACCTCTCTCCAACTCGGGGCCTGTTCTCTGAAGTACGGCAATCTACTTGGGTGCCACTGCCCGAACTCGCCATGTATACGCAAAGGCAGACTTGTGTCTCTGAGGATGCAGGATTGCAAAATGTTCGCATTTGCTTTGCACTCATCAACAGTGACATAAGAAGTTTACTTTACCCACTTATAATCACCCCTCTACCAAGTAATCCAAAAAAACGAACGAAAAGCCCTGCAAAGGGCATTGATGCCATAGGTGCTGGAATGCCCAGCTCAAAACCACAAAACTGCTTGGCACATTGCCCAGTTTCACTTCACTCTGTACTGCTGCACCAATAAACTCCATCCCTTCCTCAATAAATACCCAACGCCTATCCTATAAACACTGCCCTTTCTCATGGAGCACACAAACCAGCAGTCTCTCACTCCTTTCCCAACTTTGCGCTCGACTCAGTCTCATCTTGCTTCAATGCTTGCTTCCACAACTTTTCATACTTTTCGGCATAACCCATAAGGCCAGCTTCTGTACATGCTTGTTCCAATGTCTTGTATGTTCTGGAGTTAGATGGTAGCCCCACAGCCTCCATGTCGCTCTGCAGTCTGATGGCCGTGGCCAAGTCCATGTTCTCCGCATAAAGAGACATCAAAAGGTGGTAGCATGCACGATTTTTGTCTTCAGTGAGGTCGAAGACTTTCTGAGCCCTCTCACACCGCTCCATTGGTGGGTCCATGGTGCAGTTCTTGTATCCGAGAATTGCAGCGCAGCTTGTGACAGGTGTAATGGCCATCCCACTGCAAAAACAACGAGTGTTACACATGCATTACGAGTAAATGAGGCCATCACAAGTGCCACAGCAGGAATAGCCGCAATCAAGAAAACATATGCCAAACTATACTGCAGAATCGCAGGATAGAAGGTGCCAGTGAATGGTGAAGGACCTGTGCGAAGGTTGGTACTCCTCAATTAAAGGCTTGAGGCATTGTTGAGAGTCTGCAAGGATAAGAAAAGCACTATGGTCATCCACGACATACATTGAAATGACACATATTGACCCTGAAAAAATTCGTTGGACTTGTGGAACCAAGACTGATTTTGCATCAAGTCTCTCAGAGGCCAGCAACACCCACCTCTTGCTAATTTCCTTGACGAGCATGTCTATGACACTCATTCGCTGATAGCTTCTGTAGGCTCCTGTTAACAATGCTGTGAAGGTGTAGGCATCTGGCTCTTTGCCTGAAGCTGAGTACATCTCAAGCACTTCTTCCAAATTTGGTGGGAAGCATGCCGATTGTGAAAGAACTTGCAGGTACATGTTGAGTACCTTGCAGTCCAATTCGCCCTTGCCCTTCTGCAGATGCATGCATTGCCACACATGAATACATACAACAGGAGAATAGAACCATCAAACACAAGCAGAGCGCGTTCTGCATGCGCAACTGTCTGTACACCAGGATGCACTTGAAGGGAATCTGTATCACCAATCTCCATCGGCAGAGCAAACTTCGTTCCACACAATCTGTTGCCAAGAATACTACACCTGAAAGAGGCACACAGCCAAAAAGTTTCATGGCCAGTCCAGTATATGGCAAGAATGATTTCGATGAGGCAACGAACTCCCTAGGAATGGCACCTTGAAGAGCAGCAACATGTCTTCTGCAAAGCTGGCATCGTGTGCTGTGGCAGCCGCTGTCATGAAAGCAAAATACAATGTTGCATCCAATTCCCAGCCCTCTTCTAAAAATGCCTCGTACACCATCTGCAGAGCATCCAACTTCTTGCATCTCTTCATCCCCCAAAGAACAGTCCTGCAGTTAAACAAGGGCAAAATGCTCAGTTGCTGCCAATTCAACATATTGGATATCTTAGTTGTCTGTCAATGTTTGTTACTGTCTGTCATTTCACCCCACAATCTCATCCACAAGTGTCAACAACAAGAGTGCAGTCTAGATGTTCATTTGGCTTGCTCAAGCTGTATGCTCACAAAAGCTTTCATATTGTATCATTAACTGAATAAACCAGGACATCCCATTGCCAACCAACTGTGCAACATGCAATACAATGCAATGAGCGCATCCAAACATCTGCCTTACATAATATGTCTGGCAATGGACCCACATAATCACCAGTACTTACTGGTATGTCCTCTTGTCAGCATGCTGCTCTTCTGAACATTGAAGCCAGTCAAACAATTCCAGAGCCTCTTCAATCATCTCGGCCCTTGAAAACTCTTGGATGAGGGAGTTGAATGCTATTGTGCCAACCGGTACGCCATGGTCTATGAGCTTTCGCACAATCTCCTTTCCGCACTGGGGGTGGTTGTTCCTCAGTGAAGATGTGATAAGAGCAGATATGCTCTTCTGACCATACGTAACATTGCCTGCAACAAATAAGAAGGAAAAGTAGGTGCTCAGAGAATTCGTCAACACACAAGCAGGACACCATACACACTGTCGGGGATAGGGACTACGCGAACAGCTTGAGACCAGACAAAAGTGAGTGTAAGCACTGTGCTTCATGTCTTTGCAGAATTTTGGGACACAAAGTGGTAGAGTCTACACGTGTCATTGGAGGACTCACACCAACAGCAAATACTGGCCAAATGACTGTGAAAGTCAATGTCAACTGATTTATGGGGGCGCATACCTTCTTTTAGCCAGTGTGCGAAGCAGGACTGCATCACCTCCAGCCGGCCTTGCATACCACATGACTTGAAGAACTTGCTCAGCACAAGATCTGACTCTCGACCAAGTCTGATGGCTCGTTTTACCACTTCTTCTGCTGATTTCATGCGCTCACTGTGGTCACCAATGTGCTTTACAACTTTGCCAAGGGTGATTTCAGGCATCTGCAACACAACAACAGGCGCTTAGGTCTGTGCTTGAGGCAGTTTAGTGGTGAGCGGCAACAGAATTCAGAAGGAAACGAGGACTGTTTAGCGGTGTCTAGGAAATAAAGTTGACAAGGCAACAAACAACTTGCGGATCTGGACTGTGCCCGACAACAATTAACGGGTGCATGGGTACTGCACTATACAAATTCCAAAACAGGCGCAGGGCCATGTGGGGCTATTCAATATGCCATTATGTACCATTGAATATCTCTACAGGGGTCCATCAATAGACTGCCTGGTTTGCTGCCAAC